AGAAAACAATCCTTCCTTTACTGCACTGACACCTTTGGGTCTGGGATGCTCTTTTGTGTATTTGTGATTATTTAAAGGAGAAACAGCTCAGTGCCCTCATTTGCATCTGGGTTTCATGGGGAAGATAAAATGAGTTTATAAGAAAGGAAGGCAATATCTAACAAACCATCATTGTCTAGAATTTGGACTTTGACTGTGATTTTCATATCTACATCCCCAAATATTTGTCCTGATTTGGATAAATTTATGATATTATCAATAAATTAAAGGCTAAGAAATATGGGTGGTGAAATGAAAGGGACAGGGTCAGGAATAAGTAGACTGAGTAAATATCAACCTGGACTGAGGATGAAATTGAAATGCAGTGTTCACTATATGAACAAAAAGAGGCTTGTTCGTATAGATTGAATGGATGAAGACACAAAGGAAGAATCTGAATTAATAACGCTGTTTTTTATTAGACATTTCTTTTTGCAGAACTGCTTGGCTTCAGATTCACTTCATCTCACTGTGTGTCTCTCTCACACAGTAATAGATGGCCGTGTCCTCTGGTTTCAGACTGTTCCTTTGAAGATACAGCTGGATTTTGGCCTCATCCTTGGAAATGGTGAAGCGTCCATTACTTTGTCAGAGTAATAAATATAGGAAGACCATATATGTGCGACCCACTCCAGGCCTTTCCCTGGAGCCTGTCTCACCCAGACCATCCAGTAGTTGCCAAAGGTGAATCCAGAACCTTGGCAGGAGAGATGGAGGGACTCTCCAGGTCTTCTCCCCTCCCCTCCAGACTCCACTAACTGAACCTCAGATTGGACACCTAGAAAGAAAGGTTGTTTAATAAGACCTCCTGCAGGTAAACCCAAGAATCTGGGGAATAATCCCTCTCTTTGGAAGGGAAAATAATAATACCTCTGAGGACAACTAACAAGGACATGAGGTTTAGCCAGGGTACCATTTTTGGTCACTCAAAACCTTGTAGGTTTCTTATTGATGGGAAAACATTCAGACAAGCACTCAACCTTTGAGATGTTGAGTGCAGCAGGAGAACAGGAAGATATGGTTTCTTTCACCAGGAAGCTGTCACTGAATTTACATAGCTCTCAGGATAAAAGAGATACACACTGCTTTGACTTTCTAGAGTGCCTTCATCCCACATTGTGGACATGCTGCAAAAAGTTCCAACGTCAGTTAAAGTATATTCATTTTAACCCTTAAGAAACATGTGAAGCAACAGCTTGATTTTGTTAGAAGGAAAATCATAAACCGAAAATGCAATGTACTGCATCATTTGAGCATTCAGAGAACTATACCGCTGGCAGAAAACTGATTATTTAGTTCTCTGTATGATGGAGATGTAAATCACATTTAGTGGAACTATTTTCCACATTTGCAAGGAAAGAAATAGAGTCAAAACTGAAATCCATCCTTTAGACAGTCCCATATGTGAGCATATATTAAGGACACACTTTCTTACCTTGTAGCAGTTTTTTAGATACTTCTCAAAATATGGGTATTGTTGTAGTTTGTAATCCGTGGCATCTATTACTTTATCCATCTCTCTCATGCTTCAAATTTATTTTTCTTTTAAAAATACAGAAGCGAAAAAGATGGCTAACACTTTTGTATTTGCTCTGCCCTCCCCAATTTGGGGGACCACCAGCTTCTTTTCCTTTTTTTTTTTTCCAAATATAAATTTTTTATTGTTTTCAACATAAAAAAAAACACATCACAGATACATCACAATTGAAAAAACCCCTACCCCCCACCCCCCACCCGGACTTCCCAAACCTAATCCCAGGATATTATTCAACTAAAAGTAAACTAATATTAATATCCCTAACTCCACAAAGTGTTATTCTACATAAGTAGGTGAAATATATATATATATATATA